GGGATCAAACCCTCCAGTGCCCCCCTTGGGCACCCGCCACCCTCCACAGGACCCCCAGGGCTGCCACCCTTGGCCAACACATGCCCACCCCAGCCTTCCCCACATCCTCGACGCACTGTCTTATCCTTAACACCACCCGCAGGCGGGAGCCACCGCGGGCACTGCTGGTGGGATACCTTCCCAAAGGGCTGGCGGGACGTGCCACCCCAGGGCAGGGACATCAGCGCCCGCCTGCGGCTGGCCCAAGCATCCCTGCCACAGGGCTTGACTCAACCTTTCAGACCTTTCCTGCCTTTGAGGCAACAAACAGTGAAACCAGGACGTTTCAACACAGAGATGGCCCAACTCGGCGCCACGCTGTGCAGAGTGCTTCCCCTACTTCCCGGCGGAGCTCAGCTCTTCAACAGAGCAAATGTCCCCTGGGTTTGGATACGCTGGAAAGCTGTAGCCCTTGCCCCAACCCTCCTTTGCTCCTGCAGAGCTCGGCTGTGCAGGGCTGTGCTGGTTTTGCCGTGCAACCCCCATGAATCGCCTCCACCCTCTGCAGGTCCTGTGGGGCTCTGAAGACCTGACCTGCAGGTCCACGTCAGCCACTGTCAGGTGAGAATGTAACCTGCCCTCCCGGTCCTTGCAGCAGCCTGTCCCTCGCATCCCGGAGTCGCTCCCCAAACTCCAGGCTCTTTTCTGGATAAGACTGTCTTGTGGGTGGCGGGGTTTGGTGGGCTTCAAACTTCTCAAGAGCAGCAGAGTCCAAGCTGCTGGTGCAAGGAGCAGCTCTGCGGCGGGTGCATCAGGAGCAGCGGCTGCTGCTGCTGCTGCTGCTGCTGCTGCTGCTGCTCCTCCTCCTCGTCATGCTGTTTCACGGTCAGGCTACAGCAACTTCCTGGCATTGCACACAGCTTCTCGACAACTGTTAGGAAAGAGCTTCTGGTTTCAGGGGAGGGGGACTTGGGAGAGTCTTGCCTTGCACAAGTCCTTCTGCTTGAATGCCTCCGGTGGCCTTCAGAAAGGAGGTGAGCACGCAGGAAAGCATCTGCTGATGGAAAATGGTGAGTAAGAACCGGACCTGGGCTACGCTGGACCTGGGGACGGGGCACAGGGAGCAGAGCCATGTCTCCTGATTGGAAAGGCTTTGGCGGTGTGCTTGCGAGGGATCCTGCCGAGACCCTCTCTCCTCCTGGAAGACAGAGTCCTGCTGTATGTCTGAGCTGGTCGGAGCTTCAAAGGTCTCTGACCAGTTCCTGGCTGAGCGCGAGATTTGCTGGGTGACATCGGGCTGGATATAAAATCTGTGAAAGAGGAGGAGGCCACACTCTGCCGCTGAGTCCGGGAGAGCAGACACCAGTGCAAAATGTATTGAAAAAGTTGGAACTGATCATGGTGACGGTGCGGCTGTATCCCACAGGTACTCCTGGGGGCTTTGTGCAAGTCCCAGCTCATGGAACGGCTCCAAAATTGATGGTTACAAACCTCTGAAGCATTCAGGTGCCAAAAATCCCAGCGGCATGTTTGGGAATCTGGAAAAAGTTGCTTTTTTCCAGTAGTTTGGGTGAAAGCCCCACTGCCTGGTGTGCAGGAAACAGCGAATTCGCACTGCTCTACCACAGGCTCCACTCGGAGTGCTGCATTTGCGGCGTTTACCGGGCAAATTGGGGTGACTGCCTGGGGATGCGAGGGGAACTTGCACTTATTTAGGTATATATATGTTTGAGCACTTATGTCTAAAAATATTGCGCTAGCTTCTTTGCATACTAGCCTTTCTGTTGTGAAAGAAAAAAATTACGCAAGAACAAACCCAGACTGAAATCCCAGAGGCAGGAGAACTTCAAAATCAAAGCCTACGGCCTGCTGAGGGCAAGTGGAGCAGTCAGCTCCGGTGCAAAGGGACACTGTGGTCCAGGAACAAGGGGGTGGGAGAAAGATGGGGGAGGGCAAGATGATCTCTCCCATAAGGTCCATCTGAGAAGCTTAGGGAAAAGGTAACCCCATCCTACCTGACCTTTGTGCCGTACCTTGAACCTGGCACTCTTCTTCCAAAAGTCATCCAGATTCCTCCTGGCAGCCTTTCTCTGAGGCTTCAGAAAAAGGTGCTTTTTGGTGATTCAGGAAGATGGAGGCAGCTCTGCGCTGCGGCCAGCGTGTCCCAGTTCACGTGTGCACGGTGTGAGCAGCACAGGAAACACACTGGTCAGAAAAGTAGGGCAGATCTGCTGCCTCTTGGCCTTTTTTTTTTTTTTTGCATGCAGGTTTTGGCAGGATGAGTTTCAGCAGCGCTGTCCCGGGTTTTCTTCCAGGGAGGGATGCTGACAGCTCTGTGTGGTCTCTCCCACCAACTGGATGATCTTAAAGGTCTTTTCCAACCTAAATGATTCTATGATTCTATGACTGCCATGGGTTCACCACTGACTTCATGGGAATCAGGACCAGGGCAAGGCAGGTTGCTCCCATCTGAGCCCTGGGCAATCTCTAGATCTCAAATTCTGCCCTCAGGAGCTTTGCTACTAGTAGGGTATAATCCCCCACCGCATCCCTCTGTTTTGATGGTCCCTGGTAGTGGATGAAGGGTGGATCAGACCAAAAGACTCTATGGAATGCCTCCTGGATTCCCTCATGGTGGTGAGACCTGTTCCTGATCTGGTGCAGCCCAGTGTTGTTTTCTCAGACACATTCCAGGACCGCTTTGAGCAAAGACCACATTTCGTGGAGGAGGCTTAGTGTCAGGCCATGTTGAAGAAATACTGAATGCCCCAGGGGGCTCTTTGACTCGTTTTCCTCCGTGGTGTTTTAACTGGAGCTTTTCTTAATAGTTGCAGACACATCTGGAGGGGAAAGAGGCCGTGGTGAGGCACCTACGGGCAAAGCTCCAAGGGAACAGAAAAGACCCTGCCGAAGTGGGCAGCTGGCCGGAGAGTCGCTCTGCAGCGCTGGCTGCAACAGAGCCAGGACAGA